AAAATTTGGTAACCGAACCGATTAACTTATAACAATTTCGGTTCGGTTTCGGTTTGTAAAATTAAAACCGAATTTTTTCGGTTAATTCAAAATCGGTTTCGGTTTTAACCGAAACCGGTTTTTGCCCACCCCTACACATAAGCTACATACAACTTATGTGTACAGTATAATAAGATCATAAAATGATTAAAATTTTTACTTGAAGATACTTGTTCTCTAAAATTAAAATTATACTAATATTAAAAATATGTATAAAAAGATTATTATTAAAAATGTAATTGATTTCATATTAAATTATAATTGAAATAGTTGAAATCAGAATGAAATAGAATTGTATTAGAAGGAAAGATTATTATTGAAAATATAATTGAATTTGGATTTTATAAAGTCTATTGGGAATTTATTTGGTATTTATTGGAAATCTTAAAACATCCACAATGTATTTATTTAATATTTATTGAAGATTTATTAAAAATTTTGATAAAACCACCTAGATATAAAAATTTTAACAATTTATATAATATAATAAAATAAAATTTGACCAAGTAATAACTACTTCTACCAAAACCAAGCAAACTCTAATTAAGAGTTAATTTTGGGGAGACACAGTTGCTTACCAACGCTCTTTACAAGAGTTATAACCGTCTGGCTAATTAGCGACTCTGCAAATGAATGAAATACAATTAGGATTTCGAAAGAATGAGTTTCGTTGCTGCAATAATCATCGCCTCACCATGATATCTAACCAAAATAACAATACATCTATGGGGGCCTTTCAAATAAAAAAAATAAATGAGGAATGAGAAAGAATGAAACAAACTACGTACCTTTCTATGATAGTTATCTTTTATCTAAAAGGATTGGTCTAACTACGGTATACAAGAACAAAAAATGACCCAAATAACTCTACGAAAGTCATCAGAGGGAATAAAATAATAAAGAAAGAAACATTGAAAATACACATGTAGAAGAATATATACCTAGGAATTGAAGACAAGATTGATAACACGAGTGTTCTTCTCCTGAGGCATCATTAGCTGCAACGCTTGGATTGATTAAGTCTACATCTACTTCTATGCCTTCAATTATTATAATAGAAAAAATAGTAGTTAATAGACTAAATCAATCCAGAAGAACAAATCGGAAAACAAATTGAGAAAGATATGGCAAAACCCAAAAAATTTATTCCTAGGCTATGAGAGTAATTAGGAATCCAAGTTTAATAAATAATTAAAGAAAAATGATGAATACATTTTCTGGTTTAATACATTCATTAATAGCCATCAATTCAACTATTAGAGTATTCTTACATTTAATTCAAATTTTCAAATAATAATTTTTTAATAAATGCAGTGTGAAGTATATTAAATTGAATGGTGTATTAATTATTTTCTATACTTAAATTAAATAGATTAGAAGCAAAATTAAGTAAAATATGTAAATGCGAATGGAGAAGCAATACTGACATTGATATATCCACAATCTCCAAGGTTCAAGTTGACTTCCTCTGAAGAATGAAGCTGGTGTTTTAGCAAGTGTTAAAATGATTGGCATGCAATTCTGAGGGGATTCGTTAGTTGCCAACTCAGGAAAACGGTTGAGTAAATCAAATGCAATTTCTAACATTAAAAAGTTTTGTTAGAAAAAAGTAAAATAGCAATTATAAAGCAAAGAGAAAGAAAAGAAATGATAATTAGAGCTCTTACGGAAGATTTTCTTAGTTATACACTCTTCAAGAAGAATGAAGCCATAGTCTTCACGTGAAAATTCTTGCAGATCAATCTGTCCGTAAAGGAAGCGTGCTATGTCCTTCTGGCCAACGGTCATTGCAACATGAAGGGCAGATTTTAATGTTCGCTGATCAGATCTTTCATTCAGATTGTCGTAGAAGAATTGCTCTACTTTCCTTTTACTCCCATTACAAATGAACTTATGCAAAATACTGGGAAGCTCTGTCAATAATGATTGTAAAGCAATGGCGTCGGTATTCTTAGCCTCCACAGTTGGGCAAAGCACGATTTTGGAAATGTAAACATTACGCCCAATTTACAGTTTTACACACAAATAAATAAATAAATAAATAAATAACAAGTACTCACTTATCTCTTTATAGAGATTGATAAGGCAAAATGAGCAAATGGTTTCTTAGTATTTTTAAATTAAAGTAAATTAGTACTCAATAAAAAGAGTTGAACTAAATCACCATTCAAACTTTTTATTTTAAAAAAATAAATCAAAATTTAACAGTGGACGTCGACTTTTTATCAAACTCTCAGAACAATAGTTTAACAAAAAAAAAATTGTGTTTTAATTAAAGTTGATTTCTTTAAAATAAAATTTTGAAGCAATGATTTACTTTAATTTTGGATAGTGATTGAGATACACTCTAATTTAATATCTTACATAACATTTATTAAAAAATTATTATTTCTTATCTGAAATTTAAAACAAATAAATTTATAGATGTAATTATATATATAATATAATAATTGACTATACTCATTATATTTTAATAATTAAATTAATCGAGATGAATATAAAAAAAAATGTTAAACCAAA